TTAACTGGGATGTGAACTGGGAATCTTCTTAAAATAAATATGTATAATATAGTTTGTCTATTGCTTTTTTTTTCTGGTGCAAGATCAGCAGAACATTTGCGGTTTCTTCCATCTTCTTGCAGAAGAAAAATAGAAACAGAAGCTTTTTCATTTCTTTGAATAAAAAACACTTCAAGAAAATCAGTTTGCACATTTAAAAAAAAAAATTTAAAAAAATCTGGATATTTTAGGTGAAATCTTGTACAAACAAAAATAAGGAACTAAAGCTGAAAGTGAATGTTTGCTTTTAACATAAATCTAAACTCTGGGTGGACTTAGGAATTTTTTTTCTGGCCTTTAACCATAAAATTAAGTTGGAAGCTTCAAATAAATGCTACTGAGAAGCTAAAGTTAAGATGTTAGGTAGCTGACAGAAAGTCTTTTACTCTAACCTCACTTTCACAAGGGTATAAAATCCTTGTGAGACTGGACAGTGGAAGTAGTGGCATTACAACCACTACAGGATATAATTCATTACTCTACCTGTCCATGAGAAAAATTCTTTATGTTCATAAACAGTCAGATCAGTAATCAGCACATCTTTGGTAAGAAAAGTTCATTGTATGTATGTAAGACTAGTGCTAATTATCATCAAAAGTATTATAAAATTGTTAAGTTTCTTTGTATTTGTGTGATTGTGTAGCGGTGCTGTTCCTGGAACACTGGAAGCGTCGTCAGATCAGCTTGAGCTTCAGTTGGGATCTGACAGGCATCGAGGAGGACGAGGTAAATACTCAACCCTCAAAACACTTACTAATGTGCAAACATATACACATCAGTCACAGTCAAAGAGCAGTTCGGTGAAACGCTCGATTTCTCTGAAGCTTCAGTCCAAGTGTCTCTTCAAACGGCTTGCTTAAGGGTAGCGAAAAACTGTCCTGTAGTTTTGGAGTTAAAGCCAGACATACTACACTCCTTCTGTCTGGCCACGTGAAGGACACACCACCTCCTGTGTTGACACTGAACACTGATGTTAAGCAAATCATCTGTAGTATCATCCAGTGTCAATGTAATTGCAAGACTGGACTGAAATGTACTTATGCAGACTCATGCACACACTCAGCCTGTGGTGGAAAGTAACCAAGTACATTTACTAATGCGCTGTCTCACCAACAATCAAAGGTCAGAGAAACAGTCGAAGTATCAGACCTTAGTTTTTTTTTCTTTCCTCTCCTATTAATCATGTTTGGAGTCCTTGGATTATCTGCTGTCCCTGATTATAAAACTGTATTTAAACTTGCTTCACCTGCAGCAGCTACAACAACAACATGCTGCTGACACCCTGATGCTTCACTATTAATATCTAATGATGTCATACCTTAAAATAAATATGTCAGAGGGGCCAAACCAGGACTTTTACTGTGATGCTTTAACTACATTTTGCTGGTCATACTTTGGTACATTTATTTGTAATGAACTTTTTTTTTACATTGTAGTGTTGGTGCAAGACTCTAAATAATTCTTCCACCACTCAACCTAGTGTTCATACACACGTGCACATGCAACACACACTTTTACACAAGTATATACATACTGTCAACAAATCCACCTCTTTCTCTCGTCTGTTTTTCCTCAGGAACACCCCAGGCCAAGATACGAGACCATTCTTCTTCAAAAAAGACAGAGGAAGCAGAAGAGCAAGAAAAAGAAGAAAAAGAATGAGGTAGGAAAGACGACAACGTTCTGTTGTTTAAGTGGTGTTACGACCTGACTCAAAAGGAGAGACAAACCAAGACTCACCATTAAAGCTCGTCTTTATTCACTTAAATTAAACCAAATTAAAGCCAAACTAGCATGGGATTGTGAGAATCCTTAGAGTTAGTGGTGTGTGTGTGATGTATGCATGAAAGTGGAAATGTTGTAAATGCAAACATCCTGAATGAAGAAACTGAAACATAACCAGAGTGATTAGACTGCAGTAAGTCCTAAAGTAACCCAGGAACACACTGGGTGTCACAGGTGCTCCTGATTACACCAAGCAGCCTCCCACAGAACCAATAGACAAACCAGAACCACCCACAAGGTGACCTCACGGGTCATCACAGTGCTTCAGACCAGAATTTCCTTGAAGATTTTTTTTCTCACTCTGTCGTGTGTGGGCATAGTAACACCCCAGTAAACACTGGTTAAATGGTGATGTTGTATCTTTGGCTAAAAATGGTCTCAGTGAGACACCAAAATCTGCTATGTGATTATGAGGTGGACGGCCACATGGTGACGTCCACATCCAACAATGGCTCAGTCAGACCTTCTCTCAGACTGCATGTACAAAGATTAGTACTTTCTCTACACGTTTAAAAAAAAAAACACAAAACAAATACATATTTTACCACATTTATGCAGTTATTTTTTTTTTATACCTACATGTAATTTAGATTAATTTCTCCTCGGAGCCACGTGGCAAGCTTATTTATACGGACCTCTGGACTTTCCCAGTGTGAAGTGATCAACCCTCTGCTCTTCCAATATTAATCTGTGTGTCTTTCATCTGTGCAGTGGCCAGTTAGCACAGTATGTTAGTGTGCAGTATTATTATTGTTACAGTTGTGGGTATGATCCCCGCTTGGACTTTGTTTTTTTTTTTTGTCTTTTTGCTCGCCGTTGCTTGAATGTCCAGGAAGTTCTCCCTTCTGATGGCCAGGTAACATCAACAGACATCAGCTTGTATTTTGGAATAATTATGAACCATAACGAGACGTCTTGATTTGACTTTTAAACAACAGCCTTTTCAATGTCTCAATGATTTCTGGGATTTAAACATGAATTCTGTTCTCTTAGCTGGACTTGGCTGCCAACAGTATCAATGGAAAGGTAATATATAGTAATAGTCATTCCTTTATTTAATTTCCAATGGCAAACTTTCTGCTGTATGTTCATTCTATGAGAAACCCCTGTAAGCAGTGAGTCCAGAAACTGTCCCACAGCTGACTCAGGCTTCACAGTTAGAGTTGAATAGCTCTTGATAATCTGTATCGTTTGATTTTCAACGTGTGCGGCAAACATTAATGTGATAATCAAATGGCTGGAAATGATCTAGATTCTCTGTACAAATTGGGTCAATCATATTGAGTCCTGTTGGCCCACATACACTTGCAGTGGTGACAGATGGCCTCCTGCCACTGCCACAGAGAGGCAGGAACTAATTCACATGGTACAGGATGACGGCTGCACCATCCCAGAACCTGATCTGGGATAAAAGTAGGAAAGCCGGGGTGACCTGATAGCCAAGTGGTCAGGGCACATGGATACAATTGCCCCTGTTTGTTTCCTGACCGTCATTTCATTGCTCCCGTTTCCTACATCTCCTGTCTGTCTCCGCTGTCGCTATCAAAAAAGGCATGTCATGTCCAAAAATAATCAGAAGTACAAAAGCTAAAGAATCCTACAGGTGCTACACTTAGTTGCCCTACATGGGATTTACATACCTGGTGATTTACCATAATCCATGGCCAGCAACATGTCTCTGTTCAGATTGGCTTCTGGTTGGGTGTTTTGGTTTTATTTATTTTTTGCCTCCGTATTATTTGTTAGAATCATAAAACATACAGCTTGTCAGGTAATAGTCCTGTCATACATCAGACATTTCTTAACACTCAAATAAATACAAGACAGATGTTGAAAAAATAAATGATTACACAGAGTAGGTGGACTTTGGCAGTGGATTAACCAAAAATATAGAGGTCAGAATTCAACACGTGGACACAGTCTTTTTACGTTCTGCACTACAGTGATTGATGCTTCAGTTGGTTTATAGCACTGGTTCGTTATATGGTATTTATATAGTTTATCGAGCTGAAAATATCTTCATTGCTGGCAATATTGAGCAATACTTTGATTATGAATAAGATTACACGGCTATGGTCGTAAACTAAATAATGACAGGGTCAGGTCTATATAATGGATGGTAAATGGTGGAACTGTGACTTTGCATATGTTCTTTACATTTATGCATGAATGTGGTTTCTGTCTGTGTGTATATATAATATGTATGTGTGTGTGTGTATGTGTGTGTGTGTGGTATATGATCCAATCAGCCCACAAATTGAAACCACTGACAGGTGAAATGAAAACCACCGATCATCTTCTTGCACTGCAGTGTTCTGTTGGGAAACTTTGGGTTCTGGTGTTTTGGTGGATTTGACATGTACCACCCACCTCAACCTTGTGGCAGACCAAACACACCCCCACATGGCAACAACGCTGTCCAAAGGCAGCATGTCCCCCTGGTCAGTGTGCTCTGCCTCACTGCGAATCACCTCCAGGAACATGACAAAGAACCCAAGACACTGACTTGACTTTGAAGCTCCACAGTTCCTATTCTGACTGTGCATCCATGAGATGTGCCAGAACAACAGAACAAGCCGGATCCACAGAGGCAGCTCACACGATTCAAAGAATCCGCTGCCAGTGTCCTGACACCTCCAGAGGTCCATGTTAAGGCCTCAACAGTTCAAAGCTTTTTTGGCGGCACAAGCATTCGGGAGGTTGTGGTGGACTGCTATGACTGATCAGTGTGTGTGTGTGTGTGTGTGTGTGTGTGTGTGTGTGTGTGTGTGTGTGTGTGTGTGAGTGCGTGTGTGTGTGTGAGTGTAACCTGTCCCTCTGTCTTGCAGCCAGAGAAGCAGGAGGACGGGACAGTGACAGGGAAGGACAGATGGAGACAAAAACTACTGTCTGCCATGGCTGCAGGAATACCGGTAACCCCTCCTCTCCTCTCCTCTCCTCTCCTCTCCTCTCCTCTCCTCCTGCCCCCTTACCTCTCTTTCCCTCTCTTCTCCCCTTGTTTCCTTTCCTCTCCTGCAGGCTGCTGTCTATCTGTTCTTCTCTTCCTGTCCCATCCTCTGGCTGCTACAGTCTGCACTCCTCAGGTATTTGCTTGTGCAACCTTCTGGACATTTTCTCGTACGTCAATCCAGATACTAGGATATCTGTTCTCGTCACTCTGTGGGATTAGTTGAGAACGAAAGATATATTTTTCTGGTTAAAGCTGACCAAATAATTTTGCTCACATATTACTGCCTGTATGTTCTGTCCTGAGTGAGTATAGTGTATCTGCTTTGGGAATAATTCGTACAATGAATCTTGCTGCAATGCCACCAGTTTTTATTATTGTTTTTTGTGATGGGCACATTAAAACTTTTTGCTCAACGCCACTAAAGAGTTGGGTACCATGAAGAGTTGATTATATAGATAGCGACTAAGCTGGCTTGGTTTGTTTGTATCTATCATGTACAGCATGTACCTTCAGCTGAAGATGCGGCAAACCTGCAGCTGGTATCAACAGACACAAATGTGCACCAGGAAGTCGGTCAGTAAAGCCAGAGCTTTCTTCCATAAGAAGTCAAGTCATATTTAGTTGTTGAGCTCCACTGTTGTCTAAAACCGTTAAAACCACATTAACATCAAACCACATTAAATGGACTCTGTAGGTTATTTTGAATTAATCCTACGTACACCATCAAGGTGCCATAAATACTGCTGAACAGCCAAAGGCGTATTCCAGTAATCCAGAGCTGAAAATAGTCCTCAACAGAAGCACTTTACTCCTGTTAGCTCAGCTATTTAAGCTAATCAATGCTAGGAGATCAATCTGGTCTTTTTTAAACATAAATATTTGGGATATCACAGAACAAGCAGTCCTGTTAAAATGATTTGTTTTGGGGTCTGAAGGATAAATTTAAACTAATCCCTGTGGCTGAACAGCTATAAACAGGCCACAACATAGACTGAATGCCAACAACATGGAGGGATGCCGGCCTTACTTGAACCCTATTGATCTCCTCTTGCTTTCCTAATTTACTACCCCATCCACTGCTGCGCTGCTCGCTCTCTCCACATGGTTGGGCAGGTCCACTCCTATTATTTTGTTGCCAACTGGGCACCGAGTTCATTTAGTTAAACTAGCAGAGTGCCAGAAATGAAACTCAGGTAGTGAAAGGTAGAAGGTTGTCAATCATTGTTCAACACTGGCTCAACCAAAGTTCCAGTATCAGCAGCTGACCACTCAGGAACCATATTAGATAAGACCTGTCTGCTAGATGGTGACAAATGACAACCTGTGACAGAGACAATGACTTGCTAAAAGCCTATTCTAATAAAAACCCATTCACCAGGAATAATTAATTGATTTAGCTATTTTAAGGCATGAAGGAATTGTTTTTATGCACAAAAACCTTCTAAGTATGTCACTTTGATAGACATGAAATGAAAAATACTTTATTCATCCCAGAAGGGAAATTCAATAAGATTGATAAGATAAGATAATAAGATAATAAGATCAATAAGACAGATGAGATTTTAGGGGTAAATCAATGAGTGGAGACTTCAGAGAGTTTGGTTCTCTGTAGGAATAAAATAATGGTTAAATATTAGAGATTAGCCGTTAGCACCAGTCCTATCTTCAAATATTATAAACTTATGTGAAAAAAGACTATATATATATAATATTCTACTTCAGTTACTTAATCATTTTGTGTAACCGCTCTTACTGTGGGCATTTTAGTTTATCAGTCACAGTCGTTACTAATAATATTATTCGTGTCTGACTCCCTGGTAGGGCCCACAGAGCCATCATTAATTAATGTCATGAGTTACACCAGTTTCTTTTATGCCATGACAAGCCAATACATGCGCAGTGAATAAACTATTGAATGGCCACTTGAAAATAACAATAACTTCATTTTTCCATCTGCTATTTTGGCAGCATTTTTAATCGTAACAACTCTCAGTCCAAAACAAACAAACAAGCAAAACAAAGAGTGTGAAACTTCAAAAAAAAAAAAAAAAATCCCAATGAAACTAAGATAAAGATAGAGAGATGTACGGCTGTAATACAGAGAGAGAGAGAGACTTGGAGAAGCAGAGGGATGGAGAGAAGCAGGGGGAGGGCGGCTGAGTGGGAGTGATGCATGCTGGGCAGGAAGCCAGGGGTAAGATTAGTGACTGTCACTATGGCGACACAGAACTCTCCCTCTCACACACTTGAACCATCTGATTTGTTACCTGAGACGGTGAAATGTGCTGCAGGATCAAATCCAGAGATTGTATTTCAAAAGTATGACTGAGGTGGTTATTTGTACTTATTTATTAAATATTGCATGTTGCACCTGCTGCCACAAGATGTCCTACAATCAGTCCATCAAATACTGGTAATAAGTCAATAAAATAGAAGAGCGTTAAGTCTTTGTGACTGCACAGTGTATGAACTTAAGGCTGCATCATTTATTTGAGAAACTGACACAGTGTTTTGACATGATGGGCGCACCATTTTTTTTTTTTTTTCAAGGCTTATTTATTAACTGAGGCCATGTGGGCCTCAGTGTCAAACACATCACTGTCAGAACTTTTTAAATCATTTTTTTAAAAAAAAATCTAGGACAGTCACACACACTGAAGATCATGAATAAAATTTTATGTTACATCACATTAAACATCCATCCATCCATTATCTATACTCACTAGGGTCGTGGGGGGGCTGGAGTCTATCCCAGCTGACTCAGGGTGAAGGCAGGGGATACCCTGGACAGGTCACCAGTCTATCACAGGGCTACACTTAGAGACAGACAACCAAGCACGCTCACATTCACACCTACGGACAATTTAGAATCACCAATTAACCTCAACATGTTTTTGGACTGTGGAACATTAAACATGATCATGGAAACACCGGCACAAGCACTTGGAGACCCTGACATTTATATTATAATACTACCAAATCCTGGAGGCTCTTATACGATGAAGTATTAGATTTATTTTAAAAGTGTCAAATGATGTTTACTGTCTTTGTGCTCAGTGGCATCACTAGCAGGTGTGGAGTCAAATAAAAGTAATGTTTGCATTTAGAAAAAGCCACACTTTGAATGTAGGATTGTTTGCCAGGAACAGATTACATGGACACATTCAGCTCTATTGTGGGAATTTGGAAGGGCAACATATTTTTCATACATTTTAATCTCAAAGTTCAGACATTTGGCCACAATGACAAAAGATAAATGTAGTGAACCCTGTAGCAAAGAGATTGTGACTGAGAGAAGTGATTTTGGACACAGTCTTTGTGTGACTGCATGTGTGTGATTGTGTGTCTGTGTGGAAAACGACTATTTAGAGTCATATTCTCAGAACAAACCCTCCAACATGTGTGAATTAGAAGAATACATTGGAGGCGTTTCCTCACCACAGTCCCCTTTGGCTCAGAAAGATCTGCATCCAGTTATAGATGCATCTAGGCCATTGATCCTGCTGTTGAACAACGAGTACATCCTCTGAAGGTGAAAGTAGGTTTAAATATTGCAGGTACTGTAGTTTGTCTATTTATTTTTTTGTCATCATTCATTGAAAGGACTTAAATATGTCATGTTAAACTGCAACAATTCATTGATTCCTCAATTGTTTGGCTGATAAAAAGCTATTTAGGATAGTGAGAGGAATGGTGGTAAACAGAGGCGGTGCATGATAAAGAGAAATAAAAGCTGTGACTGAGTCTCTGTCACCAGATCACGGCTTTGTTGGGGTTTCCTCAGTGGATGTTCCGAGCCAAATATAACACCTGACCCATTTACTACCCTTCTCTCTGATGGCTGTCCCCACTAACCAACCATCACACCCACACACCCAGACATGCACTCTGAAGGTCTTTTTCATCTTTTAGTGTGTCAGTCCCTGAGGTTTGTCAACCTGTGTGTGTGTGTTTGTGTACAATAGAGAAAGAACTGCGAAAAAGTCTTTTAGTGTGTTGTTTGAAATGAAGGCTGTTGTCCAAAAGACGGTCCACAAAGACATGATTAGTATGCAGATTAAAGAGACAACTTGCTGGAAATATTGTAGTGCTTGAATCCAAAGAAAACATTTGACAGGCAGTCATTAACGTCCATTGAACAATCCTGCTGAGAGGCCTTCCTTGGATGCACTCTGCTGACTGAGAGCTACAATTGTGGGTCATCTGCATAAGAATACGAAGCGACTGTAAATAACAGATTCTTTTTGCACATTTTTGTGTAATTAGACATTTCACATGAGAGAAATTACAGTTTAGGCTGTGAAAAGAACGTATCTGTAATAATACGTGTATTCACGTTCAGATATGTTCCATAAAGACGAGGGACTCTGAGGACTGCGTGTGAGTTTAAAGTAGTGGTTTTCTTCCAGTTGAATATGAGGAATCTGGCAAGTTCTAAAAATATACCTAAAAATGCAGCATAATTAGTTATAAAGTTAAGGAAATCAAACACCGCACAGGAGAGAACAATCAGCTGTGTTTCTGATTTCAATCTCCTCAGCCTTCCACTGCAGACACAGAGACACGATTAGGTGTTCAGCTGATTGGATTTTCAACAAGATGTTTCCAGCAGATTCAACGCCTTGCAGAAGCCAACTGGGAAGTTAATTAAATGTGTTAATTTTTTTTTTTGTGTGTGTGTGTTTCAGCAACACAGTTTGATTGGTGTCTTTCCTTCATGCAAGTAATTACAAGCTGCTGGTTACAATATAGATATAAAACAAATCTGAATACTTTACTAAGTTCATTTAAACACTCGGTTCCGACGGAGAGCCCTTTGGCCCGCTGATCCCAGCAGGAAAACACATAAACCGACACACCAGATCCTCCATCTTTCACCAAAACAGCTTCTACATGACTGTGAAAGTCATTGATCTAATGAAGTTATTTCTAGTCTGCAGGGGGGGAAAAGCACAGTGTTGTAGAGATAATTACTTGTTGAGCAGAGATGTAACAGGAAATACAGCTAAGGTAAAGAAGATGTGAATTCATTTTAAATATGTGAGAATAACGTGTAGTGATCATACCAGGTTTATTAATTCTACACATAAGATCTTTTCTACCTACCTATAGATTACTGTATAATATTTCCAGATTTACTGCAGTGTTATTGCAGCTTTACTGTAAGTTCAGTTTAAGGCTTCATTTTTTTCCCTGCTAGACTCACAAGTGAGGTAAAAATCTACTTTCCTAGAAAATTCCCACAGCAGGCAGACTCTCATCAAAAATGCACTGCAGTTCTGGAGGCTTCATACAAAGCAAAGGCAGGTGTCCTGTAAGGAGTTGCAGTACCACCAAATTCTCTAAAGCCAGTCCTTCAGAGTCAGCTGGACTTGCGTTGAAATCTGGTGGACAACAGCAAAAACATGTAGTCCCTAATGAGGAGCTCCAGCACATGCTTCCATCACAACATAGCAACAACATGCAGCAAGAAGGTCACCGGTGAGGACACCTGGGATCTTTCTGTGTGGAGTTTGCATGTTCTCTCCGTGCAGCGTGGGTTCTCTCCGGGTTCTCCAGCTTCCTCCCACACAGTCCAAAAACATGTTGAGGTTAATTGGTGATTCTAAATTGTCCGTAGGTGTGAATGTGAGTGTGCTTGGTTGTCTGTCTCTAAGTGTAGCCCTGTGATAGACTGGTGACCTGTCCAGGGTGTCCCCTACCTTCGCCTTGAATCTGCTGGCATAGTCTCCAGCCAGCCTGTGACCCTAGTGAGGATTAAGCGGTGTATAGATAATGGATGGATGGAAATACATGAATTGGATAAATAAATAACAGGTAACACTAGTAATGATAATGCTTCCCCATATTCCGACTAGTAGTATATCTACAGATGCACTCTCATTGTCTGTGGTTTACATAAACTCCACAATTCAGTTTTTACAGAAATAAATGATGTGCAGCATGTTGTAGTTTCCGCGTCTGTGGGAACAGACGAGCTTGTATTGAGGATTGTATAATGGTGATGTGCTCACTAGATGGTGCTGTTGCATTGCCAGTTCGTACAGCTCGTACAGTCGCTCTGTCACTCTGTGTTCTGTGAGAGTCTGTGTGTGAAATTCCTGTGTGCCTCTGCCTGAGCCTGTCCATGTAAGTATATGTGCGTATATGCCTGTGATCAGTAATGCGGGGGTGAAAGGGGTCACATACCAGAGGATAGAGATGCTGCGTTTGTCTTTGAACAGATCAAACCAGATTTAACCGTGGTCAGGCCAGTTCACCAGCTTTTCATTTTGATACAAGTAGGTCAGAGTTCCTCCACTGGTTTTAAGTTCCAAAAATCATAGAGTCACATACACTTAAAGTGAGTAGTTACTAGAAACAATCAGCATGTGAGAGAACTGATATTTGAGAATTCTGAAAAGTTATTTCCTCTTCTTTTGTTAAATTTACAGTTTGTTTTTACCAAACATTTTTGGCGTCGGGATCAGTCTAAACCCCTAAAATGTTCAAATTACCACAATATACGGGAAAGAAAAGTCTTAGTTAGCACTGGTGCCTCACAGCAGGGAGATTCTGAGCTCCTGCTGGTTGGCGAGGGCTTCCTGTGTGGAGTTTGTGTGTTCTCCCTGTGCCTGTGTGCGTCATCGTCCTCCTGCAGACATTCATGGTAGGTTTATTTGTTGACTCTAAATTGACTGTAGGTGTAAACGTGAGCGTTCATGGTTGTGTGTATCCTAGAGTTTGCTCTGTGATGGATTATCTGTGGTCTGCGCAGGGTGTGTCCTGCTTCTCACCCAGGGTCAGCAGGGATAGGCTCCAGCCCCTGGTGACCCTCTACAGCAGGGGTGGGCAATCCTGGTCCTCGAAGGCCACAATCCAGCATGTTTTAGATGTTTCTCTCTTCCAACACACCTGATTCAAATTAACAGCTCATCATCAAGCTCTGCAGAAGCCTGATAACGATCCTGATCATTTGAATCAGGTGTGTTGGAAGAGGGACACATCTAAAACATGCAGGATTGTGGCCCTTGAGGACCAGGATTGCCCACCCCTGCTCTACAGGCTAAAGTGGGTATAGCTGATGGATGGATGTATATACGTCAAAACCAGTGTGACAGAGTGCTTTAGGAAATTAACAAATTACACACAGTAAAGTGCACTTTACAGTCCATGTCTTTTTATGTATTTTAGCAGCAATACTTTGTTATTTCAGTACTAAAGCAATACTTTCTTAAATGTTCCATGTTAGTTCCTGGGAAAATGGATTAACCACATTAACTGGAGGTCATCTGGGTGTTTGAGACGCTATAGAATGAAAACATTTGTTCCAAGCTGGTCTCCAAGTTTAGGCTGCAGACTGTAAAAATGGGCTATTGTGCTCCTTTATGTCTCTCTGCTGAAATGTAGTAATGTTTCCTGTGGAGGTGGTGAAGTTCAGATACTGCTGCTGCTTCAATTGTCCATTCAGCTTTTAGAAACCCTGTGAAAGGAGGAAAGGGAAGTGTGACGATGCATTTCACATCACATCACTGAGATTTATTTTTTTCATCAGCACCACCAAGTGAAGCAGCTTTTCTCTTCCTTTCCTCTCTTTGGAGATGTCTCTGCAGGAGGCTCTGTGTTGTGCATAGCAGATTTCCCAACAAAGTTAAAGATGCATGGACCATTGTGTGAGTGACTGGCAACTTTCCCTCTTTTTTTCTCCCCCATCTTCCCCCATCCCTTCTGTCAGTCTGCCATAGAGAAGTTGACCTGGAAAGACCGTCTTCCTGGATACTTCATTAATGTTTCCTCTATCCTCTTCATGGTAAGTACATCAAAATCAGGTTAGTACGTAGACCCATATTTAAGGAAGAAAGCACTTAAATGGAACATATTTATGATGCAGTTAATGTATAGACGTGAGTGTGTGACTGACCTACATCCATGTCTTCCTTGAAAAATTAATTTGAACCACTGCAATGCCACAATCTGACAAATATGACTGAGCAATGACTGATTTATTTCCTCTCGTTTTCCTTTATTATGTGCTAACAGTTTGGGCTGACATTTTCTGCGGTTTTCGGCGTCATCGTCTACCGGATCACAGTGTCGGCTCTGATGGCGATGAGCCCCGACCCAGAGACCAAGTCCAACGTTCGAGTGACGGTGACAGCTACTGCAGTCATCATCAACCTCGTGGTTATCCTGATCCTTGATGAAATCTACGGTGCTGTGGCGCTGTGGCTGACTGAGCTAGGTACAGATACGAATACAGTCATTTTACTCTTGTAAAGAACAGTGGCTTAAAGAACTCAATACAATGTGACTCTTGAAAACATGGATAAACTTTGTAAACACACAAGATTAACGTGTTAGAGCAAGTCCTAGTGGCTAGCCTAACAAGCAATGTCAGAGTCACACCAGAGTCCTTTTGGGCTAGTTTTGTCAGCCAGCGTCAAGACACCACTAGGCCGTTATTTCAGGCTAACAAGACCAAGTCCTGATCTACATAAATGGGGAGAATGCCATCTGTGTATTCAAATGCTACTGCACATGCACACACAGCGATGTCATGAACTCACTGATTACAGAACAGGTGGACACAAATGCGCGACACAGAATGGGTTCAGGCAACAGACAGGTTTAATGACAGGCAGGGTTCGGTACACAGGAGTTCAGTCACTCAGGCAAAGGTATCCAAGAATTGGCAGGCAAGGTCCAGAAAACAGAAACGAGGCCGTGAAACAATCAGGCAGAGGTATCTAGAAATCGTCAGGCAGAAGGCAAGGTCCAAAAAACAGAAACAAGGTTGTGAGCAAACAGACTGTGACTTGACTTGAATAACGCTGGTAGGAGGACTGTGAAGTGCAACGAACTGGCGACGAGACAGAAGGTAATATACAGGAGGTAATGAGGGGAGATGGGAAACAGGTGCGGGAAAGCCATCAGGGAGCAGGTGTGACAAGACAGGTGCAGGAAGTAAAACTGGAACAGAAGCAACCGGTAAAGTGATTTCAAAGTAAAACACAAAAGACAGGACATAAAATGTGCACACATGGACAGAGACTTGACGGACATGACAGGCGAGGTGGGAACCATGTGTCATACAACCAATGTCTTTGGCATCCCATAATTATTATGTATGTGTAAATATGTATATAAGGGCTGGTGGACTGATATTTTCGTTTCATTAGGCCCAGGGTAGCTCTTCCTCTGCTTTCACTCTTGTTGGCCAAGCTACCCATGTCCTGACTTTATATTAACCAGACAGATGTGTCAGTGGTATAAATCTATAAATGTAACTCTCAGCACTAAAGTAAATAAGCAAGAATATGTCAAAATTCTCCTCTTATACACCTGTTAGGTCCAAAATGCCATCAATCAGTGTTTAAAGCTCATCCATGTCACTTGTTCCTTATGTCCAGAATGACAATTTTTTATTTATTTTTTTTAATATGAAGCCATATGCATCTGATGAACAAATCCAGTTTTTTACATGTAATTATCTTTATCTAGTTGTGTGTGAGAGAGAGAAAGTGACTGCATTTTGGTGGACAGCTTGATAAAACTTTGATGTTTTCATGCTCCAGCCGTCCCATCAGTCATCCCAGGAGGTTTCACCCACATTTTCATTCATATTCACAACCATTGGAAAAGGGGGAAACATTTGGAAGGAGAAGTGTGAGCAAGACGGAGTGTGTGAGTGTGTGAGCGAGGGAGAGAGAGGGAGAGAGAGGGAGGGGATGTGCACTGTGAACACTGTCAGTATTTAACCTACTTCCAGCACGGTGATGCCGTTATAACTCTATTCAAGAGTCAGACTGACAGAATCCCCATTTTTCTCACAGCCATACTATAGAAAACACACATGGAAAACTGTAACCTTTAACCCCACATGCTGTACATACATTCCACTTCATGTTTCTTGTTGTATTTCCATAACCTATATTTCACGTCACTGTCATTTAACCTGCTCCGTTCTCGAGCCCCTCGCAGCTCTCTGACCTCATAAAACAACCGATGTCAGCTCTTTCTTACACTTTCATGTTAACTATTTTTCAGAGATTCCTAAAACAGAAACCAACTTCGAAGAGCGTCTCATTCTGAAAGCCTTCTTACTCAAGTTCATGAACGCGTACGCTCCCATCTTTTACGTGGCTTTCTTCAAGGGACGGTAAGACCTGCTTCCATATGTGTACTGTATGTGAAATCCCAGTTTATGAGAGTTTACCTCAATGTCACTACTGTGTTCTTTCTGCTTGTGTTTGTATGTTTCTGCAGGTTCGCGGGTCGACCTGGAAATTACGTGTACGTCTTTAATGATTATCGGATGGAGGAGGTTCGTTATTCATCTTTGAATCTATGTTTATCTTCACTAGGCTGAACAAATAAAACACACGGCAGTAATGATTATGTGTTCAAACCGAGTGTGTGTGTCCCTTAGTGTGCTCCAGGAGGCTGCCTCATTGAGTTGTGCATTCAGCTCAGCATCATCATGCTCGGGAAGCAGCTAATCCAAAACAACATCTTTGAGATCGGCATCCCGTAAGTCCACTTCTTTCCTCTCGTTTATGTGACCACTCAGTATGAAGTTTGGAATTTCAGGAGTCCAGAGAAGCAAGAAAGAAAGCAGTCACATGAAAAAAAAATGTTGTGACACTTCTCTGAAACTTCATCCAAATACCTACATACTCACAGGCTTACTCATAAGGTCCTACAAGATTCCCTCCTGGAGTAACATTCCTTCAACGTCTGTACGGTGGTACTCCATCTTGTGTTGTAGCTCAGCTTTTACATACAAATCCCAAAGGCTATAGTTGAGTTTTGTTTATAACAACTGTCACACAACAGAGGTGCCTTGTGGCTTCAGGCTGCACTGTTACTGTTGCTGTAAGCACAGCTTGACCCCTGACCGGTTAAGTGAGCCTCATCAAATGCTCTGGTTTTCATAGGACGTCCTGAGGGATCAGCGAGCCGCAGCACATACAAAAATACCATCTACATACCATCTACTCAACTCCTTCACTTTCATCCGCTTAAAAGCTTTCACACCTGCAAGGTGACCAGTAAAATCCCAGTCTCATACTGTGGCTCAGTGGGAAGTTTTTATGGGGGGGACTGGAGAGCTGCAGAGTGATGGCACGGTGTCAGACAGTGGTGTTAAAAAGATGTGACCCTAAATGCTCCTGTCTAAATATGTAAGGGATGGTCTGTTTAAAACAAAAGAAGCAAAACTTGAACAAATTCAAACATAAAGTAACACTGCAATAAACATTTAATTGGAACTGAGGAAGGCAGTATTTTGAGGCCATATTGGGGAAAATATTCCACACTGCAAGTTCGTGAGACTGGTTACTGCATATGAAGGTTTGAATCTGTGTTTTTTTTTTAAAGCTATCATTAGTACACTGTAGTTTCAAGGTAAAAATGCTCAGCCATTCTGTTGATTGCTTATGTAGCCCATGATGCGTCATATAAAAACACCATATGGACACGTTAACAAGATAAAAACCAACTTGATTACTAGCAGAGGAGGTCTTTAAAGGATTTCAAGAAATGCGTAAGACTTTCTGTGTGATTTGTGATATATCCACCTGGACTTTTTCAATGCATCGTTAATGCTCGTTAAAACTCTACTATGCAACAAGAAACTCTTGTGGTGACTGTGTCCAGAAGTGCTGTTGACTTCTCTTGGCTTGGAGGCAACAGCAGCGAACCATCACACAGTGGAAACGTGAACTGTGGTCAGACGAATCAGTATTTCTGGTCTGTTTTGAAAGAAAAGAAGCGTCCAGACTGTTGGCAGGAACAAGGCCGTGATTTGTCATGGTGTGGGCTTGTGTCAGTGCCCTTGGCAAGGGTAGCTGACAATTTGCACCACGTTGAAACCAACCTGCAGATTTTAAAGCAACATCAGCTGGCTTGAAGACAACAATCTTTTCTATAGGCACGCTTGTATGTTCCCCCAAGACAGCGTAAAACTACAAGCTGCACACGTTACAAAGGTATAGCTGCCTAATGAGAGGGTGTAAATGCTGAACTGGCCTGTCTGCAGTTCCAGCTTGTCCCTGATAGAGAACATGGGGAGCATTTTGAAATGCACTTTAAGAGTTGTGCACAACAAATGGTACAAAATTACACTGGAAAGACTCAATTACTTCAGTCCTAGACATTAAGTAAGTGTTGTGAAACTGATGTGCTATTGTTCTGTTTTTAATGTAACACAGATCAAAGGTGGTTTACATTTCATTGCTTTCAGTTTATATTTTAACTTAGCGTACTGTCCTATCTTTTTCTGATTTCGAGTTGTAGGAGGCCTTGAATTCTTCTCAAGTTATATCGCTTCACTGTTAATCAATGCAGCTGCTACCAAAGGAGAGGAAAAGGAACAAGAGGCAAAGCAGACAGAAACATACATTAAAACATTTATGTGTCCACGGCCTCCTCACATGTCCCATACAAACTTTAACACTCTTATGTCTTTGTGATTGTTTTATAAATAATGCAATCAAGCATTTAGCCGCTTTATTCGAGGTTTCTACAAGCAGTCAGTAACTCACACAACCACATGCATACACATGACATACAGTATACACACTGCATACACAAGTCCTGTAAGACACAGCTACTACTATAGTATGTATACATGCACAAGCACATGTTGTAAGTTTGGGTTCTTCACATCGGGCCATGTTCTTGGAGAAATACACATAAGCTCTGGTCTGTCTTTACTCTCCTCTGGTGTCTCTGCAGCAGTCTGTCAGTATCATACAGTTTTCAGTTCAGCATCTCAGCCAGACTCTTTTCTTCACATTTCTTTAAAAACAGTCATCATCTGGCTCTTAGTCTAAAAGGGTTTCAATGAAATGTTAGCATGTCTGTTGTAAATACTTGTTTGGCTGTTTTGTTTCACGAGCAGTGATCGTGTCACACTCTGCTGTTTAATGACTACACATGTGCTGAATAGTGAGTGTTTTGTTTTTTGGGTAAACACGTTTCTTTTTCATTGAAATCAATGAATTTCAAAGTAACTCATCCAGCTGCATTGTAGGTGTGAGGTTCAGATTTTTAACTGTGACACATAATGAGCAATTAAATATTAAATACAGGTCGACCTGCTTTGACAAAGATGCTGTCTTTCAGTTCAACTAGGTCGGATATTAGAATGTGTTTTTTGACCGTTAACTATCTACTATCTGGACACCTTCCAATAAAAATAGCAACAGAGAGACTGTGACACGTTAATAAGGGGTCAACAGAAAAAATGAACATGTTTTGAAATAAACTTTTGAATAAGACAAACTAAAATACAAAACTTTGTTGAAATGTTGCTTTTCAAGTTCTATCATTTATTTCTTAGTTCTGATTGGCTATTGCTTGTAATCTATACTTCATCAGATTGCGCTATGAGACTACTAGTTCCACAAATATAACAACACTGATAATCAGAAAAGTGCTGAATATCAGTCGATAATTGACCCCCGATGTTCATGCAGGCCACAACAGAAGCTGTGAGTGGCTTATATGTTTAAGAAATGCATTTTAGTTTTAAAGGCAATCACAGACTATTTGCATTATTCACTTGAATTATTCTCGATGAGTATTTTATGTACATTTTTTACATTACATTACAGCAAAGTTTTCTGTGTTTTCACTTTGTCCATCATCCTGACAGGAAATTGAAGAAGCTGGTGCGTGCATTGAAGGAGAAAGAATCAGCCCAGACAGAGAAGGAGGAGGAGAGGCCTCCACAGCAGTGGAACCTGGACTACGCTCTCGCTCCCTTTGAAGGCCTCACGCCGGAGTACATGGAGATGAGTGAGTCTGCACGCACACACGGAGATACATAGCTGCTGAGACAAAGAACAGTCATTAAGTCACCGACATAGTTTTAAAATGAGTGTTCCTGAACGTCACTGAAACGTCTTGTATAATCTGTCTCTGTGAGGACGCTCTCAGGTAAAAACTCCCACCTGCACTGAAGAGCTTCTATTTGTTTACATTTGTCTGATAAAGTAAATAGCAAAATCTTCAGGAGGAGGTCAGGGTGGTGGACACAGGAGCCCAAGAAGCTGAATTTTAAATGGGAGGCCTCTGCTTATATCCTGTTGTTTTCCAACAGTCAGACGTCAGTTCATAGCTGTGTAGCAAACACACACTACATATACAATAATTCATTTACATTCATGTGTGTCACCAACCACAGTACATAAACACTGGAAATGCAGTGGCAGATTAAATCTTTATGCTCCTTTGTCATAATCAGTCTCAGCTGTGTATTTTAAACATGTAAGAGACAATCTATTTGGAATTGCTTTTGATTGCATCCCCCATCTCACCAGTGCTTGAGCTAAAATGCCTGAATAGATTTTGTGTTTGTTGTTTTGGATGTGTCTTGAATTTAGCTGGAAAAGTCAAAGGTGTACTTGGAGTTTCTTAATTATTTCAGCAAACAAACACATGTTTATATTGTGTAGACTTGTCATTTGTGTGGCGAACGTTTGGAGAAAAAGGCCACCGTGTTAGATGGCTAACAAGCAGAGCGACTGTGGGTTCTTCATCTGTTACACAAATACATAAAATGTGAATCAGAACATTCACTTTTCAGGGAAGCCGTTTCTGACCCTATTGGAGCAAGTAGACACCTGCTCCATCAGCAGTATGTGATCTTAAAAAATAATAAAAGTAAACTCGGGAGTCTCTGAAATATCTCCAAATTATGAAAGTCAGGGAATGTGAGTATAAAACGCTAAAGCTACACTTCCTTTCTGCATGCTTTTAAATCTTTAAACTGCAGACAGAGTGTAAGCTGTGCAAACAAGACTTTCAAGGTTACAGTAGAGAGGAAAAAAAAAAAACGGGAATCAAATAATAACCAGAGGCTCATTACATTTCATTCTGACAAAGACAAAAGTAAAAGACAACATGGCGTGAGGGGAAAATTCAACATATGGAGACGAAGCTAAATAACACAATCGAGATTCAATCAAAATGTAGACAAAGTCCAACTTGTTCTTGGTTTATTTTTTTTTCTGCACAAAAATTTCGTCTGCAAAACACTTCAGGTCATTTGTAGGTTAAATAGTTTAAAGGAAGGACGGTTATGTGCTAATAAAAGTTTACTGATTCACAGCCTGCGGGAAAAAGTTACTCTATGGAGCTGTAGACGCCCCTCTTGTTCTATTACAACCAGCTGTAGTCACAATAAACCAACACCTGCTCAGTCACAACTTGTAAAGAACTAAGTGGAGTAAAACTTTGAATATTTATTTGCAAGATTTAACGTCGTACAATAACTTTAGCTGACTTTCATAAGAGTTGTTAAAGATCCTTCCTCACATGTTCTAAGACAAAACCAATACTCAGCTTAGCATAATAATTTGTGTCTGACATTTTTCCACAAAACATTTCAATCACTGCATGTAAAATTCTTTAAACTGCATTCAGTCCCTCACCTTTGAAAAACCCAGAATCAATGAATATGCTAATGTTGTTTGTTCCAGTGTTCAATGTCAAACCACTTCCTCTCTCCTCTGTGTGTGTGTGCAGTGGAGGCGTTCAGCACCACACTTAACCACCATATTGCATATTGGACCATAATTGACTTCCAAATTAGTTGCAATATCAAGAAATCTTTCAGCACATAAGTATCTGAAAACTGTGAATTAAAGTGAGCACAAAGAAACTTTTCACCTTCAGCAGATGAAAACAATAAGACTTCCAGAGTAAACGGTGCTTCTGCACTATGAAGGGCAAACACTGAAGTGGAGCGACAATAAAACTTATTTCTTAGTGGATTTGGGCTGTAGAGTTACTGATTTAAATAAGTATGCCAGCGTTTGTCTTTCATGTGACTTCTATTTACATAATAGTTAAAACAAAGTGGGTGAAATGCAAAACAGTAGGAAGTATTAGCACTCACAGTCGGCACTTAATGTTGAAGGTTTGGACTCAGCTTCTGCCTTCAATGTGAAAAAGCAACGAGAGCTTACAAGCTGGTGTGAGTTTGCCCTCTCTCAATCTCTTTCACAAACAGTAAGTAATACCACAGCTAGCCTTAATAGGAAGCGAGAAATCATCTTCAGCAGCAGTTACAGTAACATAACTCCACAACCGCAACCGCAACAGCGTGAGTCAAATCATCCAGCTACTGCTGAAAGCCAGGAAAAAAAAACGACTACATACATAATCTGCGCAGCATTTGTAAAACTACTGGAAGATTTCTGCTTTCTGACAATTTCTGATTAAAAAAATGCATCATATCAGAACTACAGGTGCTGCTTTTACATCCCTAATCTACTTTAGGCCTTTGTACATTTCTTTTTTTAAGACACAACTGCAAAACAATAGCCAATAGATTGATGGTAACTGAAGACAGTGACGTAAAAGTTGTGTCTGACTTCCACACAGTGAAGGTAATGATTGGACTGAAGTGTCAGTGTGCCATCTAGGGCTCCAACAGTTTTCTTCAACAATCAGTTAACTCATTTTAACTGAAAACTACTCTCTTCTCTGTGTCTCAAGTGTAGACTCTCAGTTATACAGGTCATGGTTACACCAGGAGCTTTAGTAACTTGTACTTCTCATCCAAGAGGCTTCTTCAGTCCTGGGCTGTGGTTCTTGAATGAGAGGTGAACCGTCTCCAAGAACCTAAAAGAGAAGTCATGTTGCTTTTTGCTTAAGCTCTTGGGAGTATCTTTTGTAAGGTTCCTTTCATCGTACCCTTAATCATAATTATGAGCATCAGTAATAAAAGACAAACACGTAATTTGGTGATATGCAGACCGTTGATGAATGCAGAAGAGACACAGATAATGTTTAAAAGAGACAAGACGCTGTGATTGATGGCCGCCCTGCTGTTTCATTAAGAAGACAGCCAACACTGCAGCACAGCTTGATATCTCTGATCATTTCCTCGTGGCTGAGGAGTCAAAGTGCAGCAGCAGTTCAGCAAACATGCAGCAGCAAGCTTGACAAAGATCAAGGCGAGATGGACTGTTCCCGTGTTTCCTCACAGTAACTTTCATGTTCTCTCATGACATGCCTCGCATTCCTCTTGATGCATATGAACAGTTGGTGTGTTGATCCAGTCCAGTTATGATACAGAGACATGATTTAACACTATATATATTGTGCATTTATTGATGATTATTCCTTTGAAAAGGCTGTTAACTGATAGTATTCAGCTGGTGATGGTGAAGCTGTGGCTGGATATGCTTATTTTTCAGACTTCTGTGGCTGCTGTGCTTTAATTTCTGTGGCTATCGATATGTCTAGCTGTTTTTTTTGTACCTGCAGTGCTTCTCTGACAGCTATATTACCAACGCACCACTGGAGTTCAGTAATGCAACAACTTTGTAACAACCCTCAGCTAACAAAACTATCACTGCACACATACATACACAACCTCTGCATGTAGTCACTATTACACTTATTGGAAACAAATGTGTCACAGCCACAGTCATATAACAGTCAAAGCACCGCCACAGTGACAGTGACAGCTTTATCATCTTAAAGCTTCAGCCATGATCACGGTTTTTTCTCAGCAGCGGTAAGTGATGGAGGTAGCCAACCAGCTGCTCTTGATTTCTTTCTTTATACAATCGTGCAGACTTGTGCCTGTGCAGCCACAGCTGAGGGTGCACTGACCCTCTCTGTAGTCAGAGCCAGCAGGGGTCTGCTCTCGTACCTGATAATGTTTCATAAAACAGGTCAGACTTTCTCTAAGGGTCATAGAAAATGTAAACATTATTGCAAGGTAATACAAAAAAAAAAAAACGTTTGACCTGAAACTCTGACCTTTTGGAGCGCCGTAGAAACAGATGACTTCTGCATGTGAAGTTTTGTGAACCCGAAAAACATGTTCTGCTCATTTGAAAACATTCCTGAACCTGTAAATCAGAAGTAAAGTTTTGTTGGCAAAATTTAATGTTCGATGTCCTCCAAAAGATGGTCCAGGGTTAGAGAATGAGAAACATCTCAACCACAGGGACAAACTAAAGTGCTGCTACTCATCACTAATATAAACACCAGCAGATATTTAGATCTTTGTTGTGAGGACAGAGAAAGGTGGGAGCAAAGTCAGAGCCGAGGCAGAGAAAAACAGAAAGAAGACTGGGTTGACGTCGCTGCAGGGCACCACGAGGAATGTCAGAAATGTCTGAGCTCCTCATGCAAACACACACTCACACATTGTGAGGACTATCCATTCACACACTCACACATTGTTGTGAGGCTGTGAATGGGTAGTCTTGGGTTTGTGTTAACTCATTTGTTATTTATTTATGTGCCTGTCTGTGCCTGTGTGCTGTATGTGTGAGTCCTGGCGCTTGTGTTCAGGTGTGTGCGTCGCTCTTTGTGTGCCAGGCTCGAACCCGTCAACCTCGGCTCAGGTAGATAGCCAGGTTATTCTAAGCTTGCCCTCTAGCGCTCGTTGGCCCGCTGTCGTATTTTCTTCCTGGCTGCTCATTGTCTCAGCGTGGCGTCCTGAGGTGAAGCCGTCAGTCTCCCGCTCGCTGGAAATCCCCGTTCCCACACTGCTTAAGTTCCACTGCTCCGATCAGAGCGGTGCATCAGCCAGAGTCAGGCCAACCGCTGTGTCTTTCTCAGGTTTCCTTTCACATACTTAGGAAGCAGGTGAATTGATGATTAATTAACACATTAGAAAAGTTCATTGCTGCACACCTTTCTCACTGCTTCACTCAGTCCAACCAATCAGACTCAACGACACCAAGAAATTATTTGTATTTTATTACTATTGAAAGCTCACCTGAAATGATTGCAGGATGAATCTTGTTGAATTCCTTCATTAGACAAAT